AAACAGATGCTACTAAATTCAGACATTTCTAAATCAGTAAGTCCAGATCACTTGTATCCAAGACTTTTTAAAGAGCTGGCTCAGGCTTTGATGATTTGTTACTGTTTGTTTTCAATAAGTCTTTGGGCACCAGAGAAGCTCCAGAATACTGAAAGAAAGCTAATGTGCCAATATTTTAAAAGGACAATTGGGGTGACAACTAATTATAGGCATATATCAGTGGGACATCATTACCATGCAAGGTAATAGATAAGCTGATATGGGACTTGACTAATAATGTAATGTATTTAATGTACATTAATAATATAATCCAAATCACCATGGGCTTATGAAATACAGATCCTGTCAAACTAACTTGACTTTTTAAATGAGATTACAAGTTTAGCTGATAAAGGCAATAGTGTTGAAGTAATATATGTAGACTTCTGTAAGGTACTTGACTGGATACAGTATGGCATTTTGATTAAAAACTAGAATATAAAATCAAGATGGCACACATTAAATGGATTAAACACTGTCTAACTGATAGGTCTCAAACTGACAGGGAATGAACATTTGGCAGGTCTGTTTACAGTGGCCCTACATTATTTGACATCTTGTAACAATGGTCTGAAAATAAAAACAAATCATTGATTGGAGTACAGCTCTGCCAACTGCTGAATCAGCTTTAGCCTGGTGTTTGATGGCACAATTTATGCACTGAAGACCAGGTCCCTGCCCTACATATTTCCAGAACTGGGACCTGAGCTAGAAATGCAGTTGAAGCAGCCGGCACTCCCCCACCTTAGGGAAATTGAGTGGATAACATCTGATCTGATGGACCATTCGTGAGTAAGGAATGTTTAGCTGAGACTGTCCGCCTGATTATTCTGCAGCCTGGAAGTTATTGAGTCTTGAGGTGAACAGAATGGGCTATGCAGAAGTCCCAAAGATACAGGGCTTCTTCACAGAGAGGGAACTTGCTCCTCCCTACTTGTTTCTGTAGAACACGGCCATGGTGAGCACAAGGCTCGGCAGGCTAGTCTCACAGCCCTGAGTTCCTTGCCGTTAATATGGAGTCTGAAAGCTGTTTGCTCATGGATTATCAATACAGATCCAGCATGTCCTGATTTAGACAGTAGGTTAAGGAAACAAGGCTTGTAGTGGTCTGAAGTGTAGCCTTGCATGTCTCATCACATAAGAGCATATCATCATGTGTCCTTGTAGGCAGAGACACATCTTTACCATTGTGGTTGGCTACTGCATGAAAGATTTGATAATATTGGTCGTAGTCTGAAACCTGGGGTCCAGGAAGAGGGCTCTTGCCTGGAC